AATGGAACATTTTTTTATCAGCATCTGTTTAAGTTATGCCTCTTATTCTCACCTTCTTTTCCTAAGTATGCTGCACAATTACAACAGTTAGCGTGAAGATTTGTGTGTGTGTGTGAGATTCTTCTACAAAGATGAATAGAAAGCTTTGTAATTAGAACATTAAAAATCAATAGCAAGAAAAAACATCGAATTCTGTCTGTCTGATAAGAGGGGCCATTAAACCTTCGTTATTTTCTATTAAGCTGATGTTTGAAGGTGTTTTCTGGTCATAACATTGGTTTCAAAGTCCATATTACAATCATAGCCAGTTTCAACCTCCAGACAGACACCTCATTTCTCTTCTACTGTATTGATCTGCCCTATTAATTAGATCTAGTTCTTAATACAAAAAGGGCTATAAATTACACAGTCCTTACTAAGACTACATAAGCCATATGCTAACTAAGGTGTTTATGCCAATATTCTAAAAAACTAAAATTTTCTTTCAACTGCAGCACTAAGATACGTAAAGGCAGAACTTTTAGTCTGATTTTTTAAAGACAAACTTCATTGACCATTTTCTCTGATGCTTTTATTGGAGGAATAACAGATCAACTATGTAGAGGTTCACATATCTTCTCATATGTTCATGAGTGAATTACAGACAGTTCCTCAGACAGTTTGAACAACCCAAAGGAATTTGTTGCCTCTCCTCAACAAGGCAGATAAATCTAATTAAACTTGAACTTTATGCACTCCTCTGCAGTCTTTACCTTAAATAACTGAATACAAAATGCTAGTTTTCATCACAAAATCCTCTCTCAGAATATTAGAGAATGAGGAACCTGCAAAGAAAAGACTTCACATGTTAGGAAAAAAATCTACACAGATAACAAGGGTCACAAGCAATTGTAACATAGATCACCTTCCACAATCTGTATCTGTAAAGGTGCTTTTGAGATAGATGTTAATTGGCCTTGTAGCTCATCCACAAAATCAAAGGTAAACAAAGAAAGTTCTAAAACTGCATTCATGATAAATCAAACATGTATGACTACATTTAAGTATGAAATGTAACACGTGGCACACTTAAAAAAAAAATTGAACTGGGATTTTGTACCACAACCAAATCAAAAAGGCAGGGTTTCAGTTAGAAACCTACTTCAAAGGGAAAGTAAAGGTCTACTTGTTTGGCTTCAGACAAAATAAACATACAAAATACACAAATACACTCCATAAATCCAGTACACTACTAAAAATAACCCTGATGCCCAAGGACAGCTTTGATCAATCGATCACTATTTTTCCTCCCCTAAAAAGCTTTGTTTCTACAACATATCTGTGCACAGAATGAAATGCACAATTTCCTCTCCAAATGGTAAATCCCTTTTTCTTTCCAGAATAATCCCACTGAAGCTGGGAAAACGTATGACTTGCCCTCACCCAAGAGGAGCTGACCTTCTATAAAGGTGCTTTATCAGGCCAAACCAGTATTTTCCAAATATCCCAAGTCTTTTTCAGAAAAGAAAAGAAAAAAATTAATTCTGGTTCCACAGAAGGAGAAACCTCCCACACATCCTGTTGTCTGGACAAAGCCTCACAGAAAGCACCTGGTCAGGGAAGCAGGAAATGGGGCTGGAATTGCAGTTTCCAAAAATACCTGTACTATTACCAAACTAAAGGAGTAATTTCTCTATGCAGGCCCAGAAGAGAAGCTTGGCTTCTTCTTCACTTTGCTGTAAGACAGACATGGCTTATACCAGCTTGCCAGTGATCCTTAAATATAAATACTGTTGTTGAAATAGTCCTTAGTTTCCACAATATCAGAAAAAAAAACCAAAAAATGATCTATTACACACTGAACCCCCCCAAAACCATAACTCTTTGGCTTTTGCAGTTCTGAAGTGTGCACTTACATTTTGGTAAACATTAGTCAGAGAAATGCAATGTTTAGTTATGTTTTCTTCTAAAGGTTATGAGGCACAGCTGCACAAATCATATGGGAGCACACAGCAGTACAGTGAGTTTCATTGTGATGGTGACATCTTTGCTCCCGGTTTCTGTCCCCTAAATCAGGATGGGAGGGCATTTATGACAAGTGTCTGACTTTCAGGGCAACAGTGGCTGCAAAAACAAGCCTGCCATTCAAATGTTTACTCAAGTCCTCACATCTGAGCTTTCCCTGGTTGGTCAAAACACGCCCTTAAAAGCCAGTGAAAGCTGTTTACAATGAGCAGACAAAACGTGACTGCTTAATAGACTTGGTTTTGCTGTCAGAGAACAAGCAGCACATTTTCCTGAGGGAAGATGAACGTCACTGTAAATGGGAAAAATTAAAATTTTCTTGCTAGCTGGCTATGTTGGTTCAGAAACCACAACTATAACAAATACTTAATCTAAGTATTTATCTCATGAAGTGAATCTTTGTAGTTCAGAAAAATTCTTTAAATGACCTATTGAGCACAACATTTATTTGGTAGGAAGCTTTCTTGCTCCTGACATACTTTGTTCTATGTATGCCACCTTCAAGAGTTAATTTTCTTCTCTGCACATCCAGTTAAATTAAAAATTAAAAAGTAGATAAATAATAGGCACAGTAACATTAGAGCACTACATTTTTGTCTGCTATAAATATTGAAACTATAACGTATTGAATGACTACTTTTTCAAGCATTGCCTTCCTGACACTTATATGCAAACACAGGCACAGCAACTCTACACAATCAAATACACCTTCAGGCAGTTAATAAAGATAAATTTCTGGACATAATGTGGATGTACCTTTGCTGGAGAAAGCAAATGTGGCTAACAGTTGTAGTAAGTGTATTCAAATCTGACTTAAAAGAATCCTTCAGGGTGTTATGAATATTTATATAAACCTCTACAAGTTTGATAGGTATGGAATATGTCTTTGAACAGATAAAACAGTTTTACTCTAGCTCAGTTTTTATGCTTCATAAAGGTGGCTGTTACAAAATAATCATGAAATCATAAAGAATTAAGTTCCTGACTGAAATTTCCTTCACATCTTAGATACCCAGATTCTTAAGATGTCACCTGTGGCAATATAAAAACACCCTTATTCTAGAAAAAAATTCTTCATATAATACAGAATGGAGAAAGGGAAACTGAGACTGCAGTACATAACTTAAATTGTTGCCAGTACAGCGCTGCATGTCTGTAAAAACTTGGGATTATATCTGAAGTATGAAATGGCATAATTTCAATGCATGGCCCATCTTTCATTTATCATTTAAAAACACCTGTTTCTATCCCAGTTTATTGTTTGTTTTGTTTTGTTTTTTTTTAGCTTGCAGTGTTCTTTAATTGAAGATGAAAACAAATGCCAACTAATTCTCTGCTAGCTTAAGTGACTTTTTTGGCTTCAGTACAGAGGAAGGTAGGTTTGTCCTTGTCATTTTAGCATGATGATATTGTTGCTTTTTGTTAAGAAAATTTCTACTAATTCAAATAATCCCCTGCATTTGTCCATTTTCTTCACTAAGTGGCTGTTAAGCTCTTGCATAGGTCACTGATATGCTGGTTTAATGGTTGGTAGGTCTCAACACTTTTGGAACTGCAAAAGGAAATTTCTATGGTTTACTTTCAATCTATACATCATGTTGACACAAACGATTTCTACAAATGATTTCTACAAATAATTATCAAATCAATTTGTTTTTAAAAAGACTCGTTTACATTCTTTCTAACAAAGTAAATACTAATATTATTTATTTACTATTATTTACAATATCATGTTGGACTACAATTATAATGCACTGCAGATCTTGTGGGATTGCCGGATCCAACCTCTATAAACTGTTATGGAAATTCTTCCAGGAGTCCAAGCACAAATACAGCCGTAAATACTCATTAATATTTTACAAAATCCGTAGCAAAACTCTAAAAACCAAAACCACAACTGGATTTTTTAAACTGATATCACAACTATTTGTGTATTAATTTTTTGTATTAATTATGTAACACCAAAAAAAAAATGCTTTAACTGAATAAATTGCTAAGCAATTACAAGCTACACGGGCTTTGACTTTTGACCAAGGTCCATTTCCTCTGCCTGTTAGGTCATCATATAAAAGTAATTATACCAAATGATTTGAAGTTAAACACATCTTCCACTCTCAACGGGAATAGAGGCCCCACTGACCAGTTTATTTATGACACAAGTTATTTTAATAGCAGACCTGCTTTCACATTCCTCCCAGGTTATCCTTTGTAAATAGATGACCCCAGCCACGCTCAAACATCCTTACGGATCGTGTTCTGCTCTGCATTCTGTTTAAATGCCTTTGCAAATAAAACAAACCCTGCTAAAAGGAAAAAGGTTTTCTAAAAATTATTTTCTGTTTATATTTTTATAAAGAGCTTCAAAGGGGGATAGAAATGTGCTACATTTTCCTCCTCCCACTGAACGCAAAACAAAATTCCTTGAGTTACATTTCACTGTTTATACACAGCCATTAAACTACCACTACATAGCATTAACAGAACAATTGAAACCAACTTGCAGAACATTTCGTAACAAGTCCAATGCACTGGCTGTAAATCATTCTCAATAGAATACCAGTGCATTTTCAGGCTCTATATACCCTTATAATGTGGGTTGAGGGGAGCAGTTAATGGCTTTTGTGTGCCTGCAAACTGCACGATAAAGGTCATTTGTTACCATAAAATAGCATCTGTTGGCCATGCTGAAATGTTTTCAATGAACTGAACTCAGATCACAATTTGAATTCGACAGACTGTATTTATGCCCCATCTTTATGTCACTGCAATAAGAAGTGCTGTAAATTTTAACCAAAATAGTAATTTCTGCTTTTTGGCTTGGATGAATTTAAAGGTCTATAAATATATATATGCAAGGAAATATATCGTAATAACAAATTGTTGGAAAAAAAAATGAGTGAAAGATCTGAAAGTCTATCTCCTGATTCTGTTTTCCCGTGCATTTTAAGGCATGTTTCAGGATTAATAAACTTTACCATTAGCCACTGGTAACTCACCCTTTTCTGTTCTTTAATATATTCCATCAGTTCCTCTCTTGTCCTTTTCACTGCTTCTTCAATTGCCTTCTCACTTCGTTTCTGCTCCTCCATTATTGCTTCCTTGACAATTTCCTTTTTAAAAGAAAAAACATTTAACTGTAAACATAACAAGTCTTTCACAAACGTAATAAGGGTCATCTCTTTCCTTCCTACTAAAATTATTATCACCTCCACTCTCCTTCCTAAATAAGTTACTTTAAATATATGCAGAATCTTAAAAAAAAAAACCAAACCCAAAACTACAAATTCAGTATTTTAAATACTGAAGGGCAAAATAAGTGAGGAAAAAAGGGAGAAATAATAATTTTAAAGCTGTATTAACAGATAACAAATATGTATCAGCCCCTTCAGGGCTGACCAGGAGTTAAAGCTTGTTGTTAAGGGATTTTCCAAATGCCTCTGACACACCGACAGGCCTGGGGCATCGACCACCTCTCTGGGAGCCTGTCCCAGTGTCTGACCACCCTCTCACAAAGAAATGCTTCATAATGTTCAGTCTGAACATCCCCCTGATGCAGCCTTGAAACGCTCCCACACTGCCAAAGTTTGTTTCAAAACTGTAACCAGAAAGTTTGTTTCCAAGCTTCGGGAATTGCCAGGGACATTCTGTACACAGCAGTAAAAAAAAAAAAAACAAAAACAAAACAAAAACCAGAGGATACCCACCCAGCCCTGCCTCTAAATCAGCGTTACTCTACATTAAAAGCATTACAGGAGAGAAAACTTATTAAAACATCTCCATCACCTGCAGCACAACTTACCTGGCTAAGTTATCAGCTCAGGAAACAAATTCCTGCTCTAAAAGTCACTGCCCCCAAAACTTAAGTCCCACGTTCCCACAGCCACTCATGAAATAAGTAATAACTTCATCGAGCCAAAGTGTTCTGTTTCCAAGATTCAGGAGTAAACAAAGGGACAAACCGAGACACCTACAAATCCTGACAATCTAACGTTTTCAGAAACTCTAAACATCCAGTGCAAACAACCCCATGGTATCAAATGATTTGTCAGGGAGATTCCTGAGACAGGGAGGGGGAAAGCGCCTCAAAAATCAGGCACTGGCCTTGAAAATTCCTGTGCTTTCGTCCCAGATATTCAAAATTGGAAGCAGCAGAAGCACGAGAGGTGCACCTGAAGAATTAAGGAGGAAATGATGGAAAAGCTCCAATGGTTCAAAAAGGGACACAGTAGGACTTCCAGTGTATTTATTCACACCCATTTTTATTCTTTTTAAAATCAAAACTTGCAGAAAATGAAAGGTAATGTATACATGGATTCCTTATTACTCTTCACTGATTAAACATAACACTGTCACCCACAGGTTTGTTTATAGGTTTGCTTGACTGCAGAGGAATACAGACATCTTATGACACATATTTACAACTCTGATTTGTGGGAAGGGGGAAGGTTGGTTGGCGAACAGGTGGAATTCTAAGGTTTTGGAAGCAGAAGATATTTAGGAAGTTACATAATTCATCTGTACATTTAAGATCAGAATTTTACAATATGCCATTAGTGTACAAGATGAAGAATATCATCACTGAATTGTATAAAACTCCATTTTTAAAAGCAAGTCTCTTCAGTGGAAGCCTTTCAACTGAAGAAGAAAGCTCTTTTTCTTACCTTTAGCTGTTTGCTCCTTTTCAGCCAAAACGGAATAGTTTCTGCGAAACTACACTTTTGCTATTTTTATAACAGAAAAAAATCTAAAATCCCAAATTTAAAATGTGCAACTGTGTAGTCCCCACTGTTCTGGAATGCAGCACATATGAAAACCATAGTTGTGAAAAGTGATTATATTTTTTTTTCTATTTCAATTCAGTTTACCGAATAAAAATCCTGAGAAAAAGGTTTCTTTCACTACAGAACTCTGGCAAGGTTAAAAAACAAGCACAGAAAGTTACATATTACAGAAATGTGCTGTTCTTGTAATTATATTCTCATGCCAGTTTAATTTGTCAAAATGTCCCAAAATACTGTCTTGTATTAGAACGGGAAAAAAAATCCATCATGTATCCCATTAAACCCTTCAAAGCCCATTAAAGAACTGACAAGGTGCTGTATCTTAATATATAGAAAATTTCACATCAATAAAATACTTACAATCAGTTAAAGTATCCTTGATATGACAAAAAAGGTATCCTTGATATGATACTTGAAACACTATATTGTCCAAATAGATATTTGGACTCTAAAATCCAAACAAAAATGCAACTAAATTCTGCAAGTCTATTAACAAAATGCAAGAAAATAGACCCCACCAGCAATTCCTTTAGAGAAGATTAGTCCATTACAGCAAGGAAAAATAAAATTGGAAAGAATTAATTTCCACTTACAACGACAAGTTCCTAAAATTAAGGCCAGTATTAACACCCTGCAAAACACACAGCCACAGATAAGAGTGAAAGCATTTAACCAGACTTCTGCAAGGCCTTTGACACGGTCCTACATGACATCCTTATCTCCAGCCTGGAAAGACGTGGGTTGGAAGGGTGGGCAAGGAACTGGCTGGAATTATTCTTTGCTGTTATGCTGTATTTGCCTTTGGGTTTTGGTTGCAAAGGTAAAAATCGGCCCTTATTTCATCTTTAACTAACAAAAGGGTGCAGCATTATTTGAGGCTGTTGGTGAGAGTCAAGAAAAGGGGAAAACCCAGTTTACCATAAGAAGGTGGGGAAGAGCACTCCACAAATTGCACTCGAGGTGCAACTGAGGTGCAATTCTTTCCCTCCTCCACACCCTGTTTTTTTTTAGTATTTGATCAGAGGCTGGAGTGCTAAATTATAGTCACAAGGTTAGCTGCTTTACATGACTGTATATCTGTGCTTGGCATGGCACCAGTTAGAAGATTAGAATGCCTAATAAAAAATAAAGTACTCAAGTATTTTTTCAAGTACTCAATTGATAAATCATATCCAACCATATATTAGGAATGACAACCACACAATCACAATACATAAATCTGCAGGAAGACAGAAAGAAAAAAACCACTGTATTGTATATACCAGAGAACTCCAGGCAGTATTTAAAAATAAAGCAAGGCATATGTTGGTCAGCAATTTATAGGAAAATTCTTTTGTTTCCCCACAAGGATCAGGTGGCAGTACTGAATTTTATCTAGGAAATGCAACCACAGACTGCAATGTTAGTGGTTTCTTCAGAAAATAGTAACCCTCAAATTATAATGTCTGTGGTTATAACTACTACAATCTACTTCTGAAGTCAGACATGGTTAAAGTCTGCATGCAGGGAACTATTCCTCTTCCAGACTTTGCAAGCACATTAAAAAATAAACTCATCTAATGGCAGGGATCTCTTTCCACTCAGTGCTGCTAAGCTGTGCCATTCCTCACACACTCAGGGTTACACAACATTTTCGTTGAACACGTCCCCACAAACACTGGCCACACTGATGTTTCTGCAAGAAGGTGGAAAAAAGGAGAAGAAAGTGAAAGTGAAAATACTGCTTGGCCTTCCTCTCGAGAGAAATGGAAGCAAACACTCCCACTGGAAGGTGAACAACATGTAAAGGCAGTAGAAATTGGAGATGTCCTTTGAAAAGCGAGTTCTTCTCCAGCACACGATTTGATGATCAATTGACTACTTGGGTAGAAATCAAGATACAGAGAAAAAAACCTGACTACTTCTTGTATGAATCCACCAGATATTGGACATGAAGAGCAATGTTACAATAGTCCAAACCTGTTGCTGAAAAACTACCTTTTCTTCTTCCAAAGATTAACACTCTCCCACCAATCAAAATACTACAAAGTCTAAAAAAGTTATTCCTGGAATTACATGACCAAATATGTAATTTTTCTCGGTATTTCAGAAAGAGAATAAATGGAGTATTTCAAACACTGACTCCTGTACTGGCATCTACAACCCTTGTAAAGGATGGAACAAGTAACAAATGTACAAAGAGAGACTGATAAAACTATTTTGCATTCATTTAACTGGTAATGCCCTCAAAGCTCTGCATATCATAGATGCAAAGAGAAGGAAATGAAATTAGTATTGTATGTCAACTGGGAATCCTCAGAAATCAAAAAGCATCACAGAAGAAGGGCAAGCAATGCGAATTTCATTAATGTTTTATAGGTAGAAGTTGATTTTCTGGTGACAAATACTATGAATATTATATAAATATTTATATATATTTATATATATAAATATAAATACTATAAAATGAGAAAGAGACAACAGCAAACCCTGAAGCAGAGACAAAAAGCAGTTTATGGCCTATTTAACAAGGAAAGAGTGATGGAGCAAAGGGATGGAAAGTTATAACTATAATTATGGCAGTATTTTGAAAGAAAAAACCCTATAGTTAGGGCAGAAAAAAAAGATGAATTAATAAAAATATAGGAAAAGTGGGACCTTGGATGAAAATTGTACCTATGTTCTTAGAGATGATGTGTCACCTCCTACACATTTGATCCTTAAATACCCAGCACCCTGCAACAAATTATATTTACAATTAGATCTGAAACAAAACTACTGTGTACAACAAACAAACAAACAAAAGACAAATAAGTAGATACACAATATGAAATTAATTCACAGATTTCAAAATCAGGAAAGGTGCATGCACTTGCAAGCCATGTTCTCTGGTTTTTTAAGATAATGAGTCTGTAGGGGCAATAAACAAAATCCCATAGTTTTGACACCTGAAAAATGATATGTCAGGGAATCTATCTGCAAAAGCAGTTTTATTGGAAAATAAAAAGTCAAGACAAACGTAGAGTCTCCATATATTTTATTTTTCCCCTATACTCTCCACCCAAATATTCCATATATACCTACTGATTTGATGCAGGAGAAAAAGAGAAGTGTTTTTTACACATTATAGGGCTAAGAAAGGGCCATTCTGCAGCTAATAAATCTGACTGAAAGCTGGAGTGGGAAGTAACTTTGTAGAAAAACTCCTTTACTTATTAGTTCTTACAACCTTCTCAGCTTTTGTCAGTGAGGGAAAATATTTAGACAAACAATAATTTTCAACCAAAATCTGACAGTTAATTTTAGCACTAGCAAAAAAGAAACAAACAAAAAAAAAAGAAACAAACCCC